GATCAACATGCAAATAAAGCACTGAATATTCTGATGGTTATAAATACTTGATGGGCAAGTATTTCTGACGGGGAGAAACTTGAGAGGAATAGTCTGCCTCCACCCTATTGGAACGTTTTATTTCTCAAGTCTCTTAAATGACGTCTTATCTAGTATTTTTCAGAAATAAGAGTTCATTTTGAATTTATGGTTGAAATACGTAGGCAGTCCGTAAGTTGTGTACTCCATTTAAAGAACAAAGCATATCTTACTAGATGGCAGCACACTGAGAAATCCTGATCGATTACATGGGAAATTTTCATTGACAATAAAATGCATCTTATTAGTGTTAAACAGAAGACTTTCTGCCCCAATACTAATGTGATATCAATTTATGTCAGAAGCCAGATTTGGCATACTCCTGCCAATAACAAAAATACTGAATTAAAATTGTAAAGAAAAAACACTCAGTAGAGTAGAACACAATATTGAGTTATTGTTCCATCTAGCAAACGCCTTCAAGCCATCAAGGATTCAGGATTTTCTCCTCCTCAAAATGTCAAGAAGTGAATCTTCAGGACATAATACAGAAGGTTTTTTGGTGCCTTTCTGCAGAGACTTCGTTAGATAATATCTAGATGCTTTCAAGGGTATAAAGTGCTCTCTCTCTTTTCCAAAATTCAGCTTTATATCCTTATACCTGATCTGGAGAAATACAAAGCCTTCAGTTGGAAAGAAAACTCATACAGAAGGAATAGCAGAATTCTCTCTTGGGAACTGGGAATTCCCTGAGAAGTTTAGAATGACCAGTTGTAAACAGTAGTTTAATAGCTTCCTAAGAGCCATCTCTTCCAAATGACTTCCCCACCCATACAAGGGAAATCACAAACAGAAAGTAGTATTTTTTTGAGGGGCAAATTTTGACTGGAAAGGAGGTGGGCAATTTAATCTCAAGACAAATTTACAACTATGATTAAATACCTAATAGATTTTTAATTCTTGATATTGTGTGTGTATACCAACCCAAACAAAAAACCACTAATTAGCATAGCACAATCATGATTTATGCCAGTTGCTGGCCTACTAGTGACATTTTGTGCTCTTTTACTTAATATTTCCTGCAAGTTGCCTGAAGGAAAAATAAAACAACAAATAAAGGAAAAAAATAAAATATTCTTATACCACACACAGCCCTACCATAATTTCCTGAGTAGGGAACACTTATAACACTACTTTTATTTTTATTTTTTTAATCAAAAGGTTGATGATACACATTCAACTTAGACTAGATGACAATGCTAGACAATTAGGTATTCACCTGTTTACATGTTCATGTCAATCCTGGAGCAAGATAGCAGGCCACATCATTTAGAAAAGAAAAATCTTCCCACCATGATCCTAAGTTTTGAGTACAACTGCTATATGTACTAGAAAGGAAAAAGGCAAAAACTACGCTAGAAAGAGGCTCTGACTTGAACAGCCTGTCCAATGATGGTCACCACGATCTGCCTTACCCTTGAGGAAGACTTCCTACAGGAGGCATCCTTCTTAACTTCCAAAATCCACTGTTGCATTAGTTTAAGGCCTCCCTCACCCAGCAGGTAAGGGCAAAAGTTTTACAATACTCTTCAGTACTTGCAGCTTGACATATTCTGCTCCTTTCTTCCCCGATTCTACACCTTGGAGTGATGTACATGACCCACTTATTTCATTTCAGTTCTTGGTTCCTGAATGGTGCAGCACACTTAACTGAGTGTCAGTTCTTCTTAGTCTATTTTTAACTGACTTTGAACTGAAATTAAGCTGACATCTTGTGGGTTACAAACCATTTTGCAATACTGTCCTTTCACAGATTAGCAGTTTTATTCTGCGCAATAGAATAGATTGCTTTGTGATTAGTTGCTAATGTTCTTTATGTATGCCATTGCAATATAAGATATAGATGGTTTAGTAAGCACAAAAGATGGATGGATTGTACTGAACACTGGATAGTAAGACATTGAGTTAAAGCTGCAAAAATAGTTCTATCATGTGCAATGAAAGTAAAGAGAAAAAGAATTCAAATACAAATAAAAAGATAGTTTGGGGAAATAGAATATTTAAAGTTCATCTTGTAGCAATACAAAACAGACCGAAGTTTGGAAGTTTAAGAGAAAAAGTAGGTATCATCCACATAAGGAGTTAAGTCAGTTTGACTTAATATAACAGAGCAGTTGGAATCTGAAGAATTTTATGTCCCATCCCAAACGCTGTGCATCCTGCTATGCTAGACTTGACTAGATTGAAGGATGCATGATGATCTGTTTAAGGTCCCTTCCAACCCTACAAACTATGAAACTACGATTTCCAAGATGAGGCATAAATAGCTTTAGATCCCAACTGCCTGACTGCCACAGCTAAACCAGTTCCCAGGGCTGCTCACAGACTGATCTTGTGGTCCAGGAAACATCTTCCTTCTGCCTGATACCCAGGACTGCTGAACAGTTGTTTGCAGTGGGCCCAGGGCTGCCCCACTGATGCCAACAATCAGCTGACTGTTGGCATTGCCTAGGGAGAGCCCTGGGTCTGGAACCTGACTCGGGCTATCTGGAACCAAAGGATTGTCCCCATGGGCCTAGACAGGCCCATGTCCAGTTCCAGGCCTGGGGCTGTCCAAGGCTGATATGGACAACTGGCCAACTGTCTGTCAAGAACGACGTGGGAGCGGGGGTGGGAGGGAGCTGGGATGGAGTGCTGCCACCTAACATCCCATGCTGCTGTTGTTCTGCCTCTTGCAGAAAGTGAGGGGTCCGGTTCTCAGTGCTGCTTTGGAATCATGGCAGCGCTCCCCCATGCTTGGAGCACTCCGATTGGTTGTTTCCATCAGCTAGTCAGAGTGCAAATAAAGCATTATGGACAAACAGGCAGACAGACAGACTTAGGCTTTTATATTAGAATTATCCATTTTGAAAGCACTGGCCATAAACAGCCTGGGTCTGGAACTGACCCAGACAATAAAGTGATTACACTAGCCCCAGACAGCTCCGAGTCCCTGGGCTCCCCCAATCCTGATCCCTGGGGTTTGAGTGGGGGGAGCCCTACAGTGGTATGATCAGGATCTGAGGAATTTTATGCCCCATCCCAAAAAAGACTTGTGTCCTACCATGCACATATGGCATTTTTGGAATGGGCATAAAAATTCCTCACATTCTGATCACACCACTGTTTTAACATCTTCCATGGGCTTCAAATTGCTCCCAAGAAACCACTTTGATGTTAATTTTCATGGCAAATTCCAGTTTTTCAACCTCTCTGTGCGTTACTGGCAAGGTAAACAAGTCATACCCAATAAATCAAGCCAGAAAGTAATAGGAAATCAATCACAGGCCACTATCATTTTGTCACCATCTCCAAAACCAGTTAACTACTTAAAAAATCATCACAGGTTTCTGTCGCTTTATGCTGTACATGTGTTCCTTGAAAACAGCGCATAACTCAAATTCACATAAAGGGAACCCACTTTACAATGCAGCAAATAGGGATATGTTCCAACACCTCAACTGTACTGACCCCCAGACCCATTTCTACAAGATAATTTTGGTACTCACCAACAGCAGACATTACACGCAAGCACAGGACACTATCATAATGGGGATGGCAACTACAAAAACACATGTCGCAGACAATGAGCAAGGAGCACAAATCCACACAAGAGACTATATTTTGGTGTGCATCACTCCCACAATGCACTGCACAAGGCAGCTGACTTCAGGCTTTCACCAGATAAGAGTGAATTTACCACGCATATAACAAAATTTTTGGTCTAAAAAGGGTCATCACATAAGAGCGAATGTGCACATACTGAGCCCGCATAAAGTAAGGAAAACCTGTATTTTACCGTTCTCCCTCATAGAGAATTCAGAATACCGGCAGTAAAACTGATCAGTCTAGTTAATTTCCATCTGCTACAGCTACAATGCTGAGAAAATAGATCCAAAGCCTTTGCTATTTCTATCTGCAGATGCAGGAAAACAAAAAAGTACATTAGCTTATAAACAATTCCCATTTACAATGTTCATTATATCATGGGATTTTTTTTTCAGCTAAATAAAGCAAAATATTTATTCAACCTGACAGGACGAATCTTTTTGTTTTCCAGGATTAACTTCAAGCTCACCACTGGTAAAAATGAACCTCAGACTAGCTAATCTTCACAGGTATGACTGTAGGAGGAGCACCAAATTTCTTCACACCAACAGCTGTACATCCTCTTTTAGTCTGAACAAGGATTCCCTGTGCTTTTACTAGCAAAACATTTAGTTAAAAACTATACAATCCTCCGTGGGCATATGGGGCCCCTATATACATGCCAGATATGTGCTCCGACACATGCTAATTAGCATCGGAGCAGACTCAATTAAATCAAGTCTGCTAATTAGCACGCTCCAGCAACTTCTGCATCACGTGCATTCAGCATGCCCATGCTTCAAAATGGCAGCAGGGGCACTTTAACTAAAGCTCATCTTTAATTAGAGAGCCTCTCGAATTAAAGTGCCATCCCACCCAGGAATACATATAAAGATGTCTGTGGATGTTACATGTTATAACTACATATGTGCAATGCTTCTGCAATTTCTAGAAGAGGTTGATATTGCTAAAAACAGTTTTAAAATCTATTTACCAGTACTTCCACTTTGAACAAACTTACATGAATGCTAAAGGGAGCAAAGTCTAATAGTACAAGGGTGTAATTTACTTAACTGTAGCTAGGTTAATCAGACAAATAACTTGCACTTATTTTCAGACCCGTCTTGAGTGACTGACTTTGGGTTTTTTTGGGTTTTGGGGTTTTGTTTTGTTTTTTTGGGGGGGGGAGGGGTTGCGGGGGGAAGGGGGTTAATATAAAAAGCGTTTTGGAAAAGCACATATAGTAGAAGAAAAATCTTATTTTAAACTAGTTATGGACTGCTAGATGTGCAACACTATGGTACATCCCAGAAATATTAAAATGCAAGCTCTAAATTGTTAAAAAGTGTACTTACTTCTATTGTAGCAGGTTGCCAGCACACCTTTATCTGCAGGACTGGCACTGATTTGCCAAATTTCACCCACTTGATGGAGGAGAACATTTTTGTTTATAATGTTATTTTCATCATCAAAATCTATGATGTGAATCTGCAAATACAATAAAAGAAACATTAGGGCCTCAAGTGTTTTCCTGTGGGACTTAATTATACAACATGATTGCACCGAACCATCTAACGTGAGTTTTATGACTGATATCTACTTTAATTAATTGTTATAGTAACAATATAACACTTCTTTAATTTCATGAAAGATATTCTCTCCAAAACCAAATGTCCTTGTTGTGAAGAAATCCCATTTGCTCTTCCTGTTCTTGCAACTTCAAAAGCACACTACATTTGCTGTGGTGGTTAAAAAACAAAAAATGACCTGGAGGAGTCCTAGCTTTGCAACTCATCATTTCCCAGCACTAAACAGAAATGTATAGACTGAGGGTGTAAACGATTAGAAATAAAAACGTTTACACCCTCAGTCTAAATGTCTGTTTGTGTATCCAAATCACCAGAACTAAACCTTCTTTACAGGAATAAAGCAGGGGGAGTTTCACTGGTGCTGTTAGAAAAGGGATACCCTATTGAAACTGTTGTAGATCCCTGTTCAACTGCCGCATATAAATCTACACCATTTAAAAACAAGCTATAGGCAGTCTTCTCCATGGACTGCCACCTTGATGGGCTAGAGAGGCTTGCATACACCGATGACCTTAAGAGCAATACCATCAGGAGTCCTGTATTCCTGGTAGGGTCATCCAGGGTGGTAAGGTCAAAGGTGAGGCATCAGATGAAGACCAGACCAACACAATACAAAGATCTCAATGGTGGAGCAGGCAGATGTAGAAGCCATGCTTCTCAATAGCTGTAAAGGCAGATGAAGGCTGCAGTGGAGAAGTAACCCCAGCTGTCTTGGATCCCCTTGCCGCTGGAAATAGGTTTCTCCACCGCCAAGATCCATTCAACTGTCAATGCGCAACGGTAAAACAAGTTATGCACAAGCCTTTCCCAGTGGCGCAATATCTACTACAATAACCAAGACTAATACCCATAACTTCTACAAAGTCCTGCAGTGACAGATGAGTGGCCATGGGGACAAAGTGATCACCGGTAGTCCTTAGCCACAGATCCACATGGAGGCAGTGACTGCATAATGGTTACTTCACCCAGGGAATTTTCAGGCCAGCTTGCGGAGACACTAAAAGCAAGGGATGTAGTTGTCATGGGTGATTTTAATTACCCGGACATCTGCTGGGAGGAGCAGTCAGCCGGGACAGACCGCTCCAGGAGGTTCTTGGCCGAGTTGCAGGACCTCCACTTGATTCAGGAGGTGCACAGTCCCACCAGAGGCGATGCCCTGCTGGACCTGGTCCTGGCCACAGGCGACGACCTGGTAAGAGGCCTCCAGGTTCTTGACCACCTGGGTAATAGTGATCATCGCGTGCTGGAATTCACCATCCAGCGTAGAGTGTCAAGGGCCCGTAGCAAGGTGGTAGCCCTAGACTTCAGGAGGGCCAACTTCAGTGAGATGAGGAGATTAGTGGGAGAGGAACTGGGGTCCTTGAGGGCAGAGGAACTCAGCGTCCAAGAGGAGTGGTCGTTCCTTAAGGAAACGATACTCGGGGCCCAAGGGGTGTCCATCCCGACAAGAAGCAAGGCGGGCAGGAGTGTCCAAAAGCCCCCCTGGCTCACCAAGGGTGTCCGGGAATGCCTGCTTGCCAAAAGGGTGGCGTACGCCCGGTGGAAGGGGGGTGTAATCTCCAAAGAGGAGTATACCTCCTCTGCTCGGGCCTGCAGGCGGGCTGTTAGGAAGGCCAAGGCGGAGATAGAGCTCGGATTAGCGTCCAGGATTAAGGATAACAAAAAGTCCTTTTTCAAATATATTGGGAGGATGAAGAAGGCGCCGGGTAATGTGGGGCCCCTGCAGGATATGCGGGGCAATCTGGTGGTTGCGTCAGAGGATAAAGCGGACCTCTTTAACCAATTCTTCACCTCCGTTTTCTTGTGCAGGGACCGGGACTTCCCTGCTGTGATAGAAGCCGGACGCGAGGGGATCGCCTTCAGACCTCAGGTTGGGGAGGACCGGGTTAGAGAGCTTCTGGAGGGGCTGGACGCGTTCAAGTCAGCGGGTCCGGATGCTCTCCACCCCAGGGTGCTGAGGGAGCTGGCTGGGGTTATTGCAGGGCCCCTGGCACGGCTCTACGAGCGATCGTGGTGCTTGGGCCAGGTGCCAGACGATTGGAAGGTAGCTAATGTGGTCCCCATCTTCAAAAAAGGGAAAAGGGAGGACCCGGGCAATTATAGGCCCGTCAGTCTTACCTCAATCCTGGGGAAGCTCTTTGAGAAGATCATCAAGGAGCACATTTGTGATGGGCCGGCATCCGAGATGATGCTCAGGGGCAATCAGCATGGATTTATTAGGGGGAGATCATGTCAGACCAACCTGATTGCCTTTTATGATCAGGTCACAAAGGCCATGGATGCAGGTGTCGCGGTGGATGTAGTCTTTCTGGACTTCAGCAAGGCCTTTGACACCGTCTCTCACCCCATCCTAATTAATAAACTAGGCGACTGTGGCATAGATGCCTACACGGTCAGATGGATTGCAGATTGGCTGAAGGGTCGCACTCAGAGGGTGGTGGTGGATGGATCATATTCGACTTGGGGGGAGGTGGGTAGTGGAGTCCCTCAGGGCTCGGTCCTGGGCCCTGCGCTGTTCAATGTCTTCATCAGCGATCTTGATGTTGGGGTGGAGAGCAACCTGTTTAAATTCGCTGATGACACCAAAATTTGGGGGGAGGTGAGCACGCTAGCAGGGAGAGAGAGATTGCAGAAGGATCTGGATAGGTTACAGGGGTGGGCAGACAGGAACAGGATGCGTTTCAATACGGACAAGTGCAGGGTGCTGCACTTGGGTAGTAGGAACCAGCAGCACACTTATAAGATGGGGAGCTCCCTACTTGAGAGCACGGAGGCGGAAAGGGATCTTGGTGTCATTATTGACTCCAAGATGAACATGGGCCGACAATGCGAGGTCATGGTTGGCAGGGCTAACCGGACCTTGTCGTGCATCCACAGGTGCATCTCGAGTAGAGCCAGGGAGGTGATCCTCCCCCTCTATGCGACGCTGGTCAGGCCGCAGCTGGAGTATTGTGTCCAGTTCTGTGCGCCCCATTTCAGGAGGGATGTGGACAACATGGAGAGGGTCCAGAGGAGGGCCACCCGCATGATCCGGGGACAACAGGGCAGACCCTACAGTGAGAGACTGCGGGACCTGAACCTATTCAGCCTCCACAAGAGAAGGCTGAGGGGGGACCTGGTGACCGTCTATAAACTCACTAGGGGGAACCAGAAGGGTTTGGGGGAGACGCTGTTTCCCCTAGCCCCCGCTGGCATAACAAGGAGTAATGGGCACAAGTTGATGGAGAGGAGGTACAGATTGGACATCCGTAAAAACTACTTCACAATTAGGGCGGCTAGGAGTTGGAACCAACTTCCAAGGGAGGTGGTGCTGGCCCCTACCCTGGGGATCTTTAAGAAGAGGCTGGATACCTACCTGGCTGGACTCATTTGAGACCCGTTTTTTTGTTTAGGGTTCTTTTGTTGTTCTCCCGCCCTGGCGGGGGGTCGGGCTAGAAGATCTATTAGGTCCCTTCCGACCCTAAAACTATGATCTGGGACAGAATAGTGATATGGCAACTGCAATTGTGACTGAGAAGTCCTTTTTAGGACTCCCTTTCCTCACCCCATATGGGGAAGGGGCTAGAAAAGGTGCCCCAAACATAGGCCATCCCTATGTGTCAAGTGGACAAGTATACTTTTTACCTTACCTAACTGGATAGCCGCTTTCAGGGGGGATCACTAATTTCAGTCGAAACACAAAAATGTCTTTTGCATCCTAGAGTGTATGAACCATACTAGATGACCTGACAAGTGACAGACCTGAACACAGAACAGCTCTTGTCACCCAAGAACTCCTGTGATATAAAATTAATATCACTGCTCTCACCAAGACCAGACGTGCAGACAAAGACCAACCAAGGGGGGTGGGGGTGTGATATACATTCTTCTTGAAAGGGAAACCTGCAAATTATAGACCAATACATGGCCCTGGTTTTGCCATTAAGAACCAGATTGTCAGTCAAATGCCCAAACTCCCTGTTGGCACCTCATGACTCCCTGCCTCCAGCTGACCAACAATTTGTTAGCTTCTGTCACCAGTGCATATGCCCCCACACTCGATGCCAAGGAAGAACAAAAAGAACAGTTTCATGTTGACCTTGATGAAATCCTAACTACCATCCCAAAAGAGGACAAGATCATGCTCCTTAGAGATTTCAATGTGAGAGTTGGCTAGGACTTTAACATGTGGAGGGGCACCACTAGGAAAGGAGGAATGGGCCAGGACAAGACCAAATCCAACAGCACCCTCTTACTAAATATGCAAAGCATGACCTTGTCATTACTAAAACTATTTTCAGACAATGTGACAGTTACAAAACAACATGGCAACACCCCCACCCAAAACAATGGCACCTCCTCGATTATATCATCATAAGAGCATGTGATCTAAAAGCCATCTGTATCACATATGTCATGAGAGGAGCTGATGACCGCTGAACTAGTCATTGTTTAGTGAAATCAATCATGTCCATCAGGGTTCCACTGAAACATCAAAAGCAACCCAAATCAGTCTGAAGACAGTACAACATGAAATGCCTTCAGACCCCTAGCCACCAAAGCTCTACAAACACATCTCAGTAAGAAACTTGCCAATCTTAGGATTAAAAATGATAACACTTGTGTTCAGGAAAGATTCACAAGCTCTAAAAGAGACCATCCAGAATCAATTGGCTTTAAATCACCGAACACCATCAAGACAGGTTTGACAAAAACAATGCTGAGATCAAAGGCTCTCTTAAGCAGGAGAGAAAAGCTTTCTGACTGACAAAACCATCCTACACCGAGTCAGAAGCAGAGAATTCTTGGCAACTTAAAGTTGAAGCCCAGAGGAAGATTTGAAAAATCAAAAACAAATGGTGAGAAAAGAAGAGGAAAGAAATCCTAACAATGTGTTGACAATCATGACATGCAGAGCTT